TATCCTAACATAGATATTTCTACTCTAATACAGTATATAACACTGTCGCAAACATTCATAATGAATTTCAAGTAGCTTAAGATAAAACAATATCTAAGCATCTTATTTGCAGGAGAAAAGCAATATAATGAAGCAAGAATGTCCCTTTAACTAATAATAAAATTATTCACGGTAGGATGAAAATACGTTTATAAGTAATTTTAAAACTACGAATATTTTGATATGATTTCAACGATTTATCAATAATTATCTTTGCGTGCATTTATAAATGTAAACCAATTATCAAGTTAACTATGAAATAGAATTTGTTACCTATTTCTATATTGTAAACAAATAGTAATTATAGAACAAATCTAAATCGAACCTAATAGATTTACAAGAAAATGAATCAGAAATGGTTTATCATCACTGTCAGATTACTTTAATACTCCTATAAAGGATGTAATATTACAGTAAAATACTAACTTGAATTAAAATTTACAGCTAGTAGAACACATGCTCATTTTCTAGATTACATATAGGTAAATTCTCAAACTATCTTTGATTAAAGCTGATTTCATTAGTCTAGCAAAGGTTTTGGACATGTGGTGTAACCGCGAGGTAAGGTATACTATTCGTGCCTACAAAATGCTTATCTGACTAAATCCAAGTAACAAATATTTGTGAACTATAAAATTTTAGAATATTCACATATTCTCTCTTATAAATATGCGTTCCATCAGTACGACTAGACCCAAAATATGCATAATAACGTGATCATCTAATATTCTACCTCTATGCACATTTACTATTACCAAGATTTTCAGTTGTCATTCAAAGAATTTTGAATCTAAATAAGTATTAGCAGTTTCACATCTAATCATTAAATGTTTAAATATATTCGTCTCTCACTTTTATTATCGGTATTTATAGAGTTAGGTTTACTACAATTTAGCTCTATCTCATTATTTCTTTTAATATCGGAGAAGTGCTGCATATATTCTATATGTATAAAAAATTAATTTTATCATTTAAGCTAATAATATACAGTAAATATCATTAAAACTTAAGGTCGTAGATTTTAACTTTATTTATTTCATCCGCTGCTAACATTTATGCCTGATGTATATTTACTCTTCACATTTGGCGGAAACAATTCTTAATGACAACGAACCGTTAGAAATTTTTCTTTGCGTAATGCGATAGCATTCTATTGAATTTAGAAACAAAAAATTGTGCACAGTCACTATTAGTGCCAATTATTTCCGTGTTATACCGGTATGTAAATCAGAGGATTTAAACGTCTGCTTCTATAACTTGCTGGAATATAGTAAATTGATATCGATGACTTATTACTGAAGTATGAATTAGAAAAATATGTCTATTCCTAAAGTAAGTATTTATATATTTTGTTGGTATCTAAATTTAAAGGCAATCTTGATTAATACATCCTTTGATTTAGTTACTAAGTTTATATATTCCTCCTAATCAACTCATCTTTTATCTCTACGATTAAATTAATTAGTTGCAATTAAATTGCCCAATGGAATATAAGTTATACAATTTTCAGCTTCAAGTTAATCTATGACGATATTTTGCTACATATTGTTTTAGCAGAAAATTTTTAATTACTTCCTTGGGCTATCATAAAACTTTAATCATTTATTATGTAAAGAGAATTATATCAGTAGAAAAAGAATCGTAACATCCGCAGAGTTTTCAACTATGATCAGTAGCTAAATAACACTCAATTAATGGTATTGTCTATCGAATCACTTATGTCCAACATAAATTTTCAAAAATAAGTAATAATTACTTATAATTATATTTAAAAAATTTTTGTTCAAACCATCAAAACTATAACAACAATGTGTATTATAAAACAAAGCAGCAGTATTAAAATTCAAAATTAGACAAGGCAATTCACTTGATATCAAATATTGAAGTCTATTATGTATTTTTAATTTTTCTGGCCTGACCTTAATATAAACTAATAGCGGAACTTATTATTCTTCTTAGCAAAAACTGTAAAATTATGATAATATGAATAGAGGAACTACTATTAATGGCTGTTCCCTTATTTCAATGTCCTCAATATTTCACAAAGAACATTTTTCAGTAATGATACTTAATACAGAAATAACACAATTAGGGTCGTACATATCATCGACTGGCTATACACTTATTTGAGTGCTGCTATCGTTTAGAGAAAGCGGAAGTTTATATTTAGGCACGCTACTAAACTATCCATCAACATTACTGTTTTCCATCAATAGATGAAATTACGTTAAATAATTAAGAATAACTCAAAAAATTTTCACAGGATATCACACTGGTTACAATAAAGCAATCTTCCCATAGGACTGAATAGAACAGATGAGATTATTAATTGTAGGCCTTTCTACCATACAAGAACATGTTTAAAAATTGATATGTCTAATATACATCAGTGATATCGATGGAACGAATAAAGTCGATCAGTTATAAATTTGCAGAAGATATTACAATGCTAAACTATTTTGTCGAAGATACTAGAATTTCATCATGAAAGAGTATCAATTCTAAATAACTTGAAAGATATGAATACATACTGCAGTACTGTGAATAATGAATCAAGATTTAAACTATACGCTTTTACTAGCCGTTTAACGTTCATAATATTTACTGCATACAAGTTATCAATAAAAAGGCAATGATATCTGTAACTTCATATGTCTTATAACCATTGATAATCAGCTTTTAATTTTTAAATCAAATAATTAGATCAATCTTTTCTAGGCCGGTAGCAATTTATTCCACCTGTATTTATCAAATCGAATTGTATAACTATTTTACGTTATAACTAAATAGTCGCAATTTTTTGCCTTATGTGTTATCAAAACTTACATGATAATTTTGAATTATAAATTATATTACAATTGTATTTTTATTATTTGGATTTACCGTAGCCTCAATCTTTTTATTAAAACTCCCGTAGAAAGCTAATGATGGTAGTTACATTAATTAATAACCCTAGATTCCTCCACTTCAACTGTGGATAACAGAGATCAGTTCCTTTTCAATTCTACGGGCTTGATAATATCCAGGCACCAGTAATAAATAATTCGATATGAATTAAATGAAACGCCAGCACTATCTAATAATGGATTATTGCGCTCAAATTTTATCTTCTGCGATTACTGTATCGTCTGTTAGAAATTCTGAAGAATAAAATGTTACCGTAGTAACATTCGTACTACAAGTTGTAACGAATATTATAATCACTATACGAGATAATCTGTTAATCACTCTACAAATGTACTCATTTACATTACCAAACCACACGAGAATTTTTAAGTAAACGACAACTAAAAACTTAGCCATCTTGATTGGAGTAATAAATGGCAAAAGAAGTAACCTAGCGTCGCTTCGTAAGCGTTTAATATTCTATACGCCATAAGAAACCTTTTTGTCAATTTTCCCTCATACTTACATATAAAATTTACACAAGCATACAAAAATTCAAAAAGTGCCTATGTAAAAAATTATTGTCCCTAAAACATTTTTTCAACGGCTATGAGAAATTTCAATACTGTATACTAAAGAAAGTAACATATCCTTCCTTTATTTGAATCAATAAACTATGTTGTTGACCTAAATCAGTATCTTGCTAATTATGTAGGAGAAATTTTCATTTTGTCCGATATCTTCATCATTGAATGATCTCATTTCAATATAATTATAATTTCCTAAAACTATACAATACTGTCAATGGAATATTTAAACTGTGGCCGGTTAAAGCTTTCTTTCAATCTTATACTCCTATTAAATATGAGTTAAGTTTTAATGCTAAGAATTAACACCCTATGTAGTGGATTGTTTAAATTTCATAAATCATTAATTTGGCAGCGTAATTAATTACTGTACAATTTTACTCTCAAATATGCCAAAATTTAATTCTAATAACAACTAAATTATTTGGCAATGATAGTGAATGGTTTGTATTAAACAAAATACCGGTACCACGACTATCGCCTGTAATGAAAATGTTAATGTTTATAATATACGTGTACAAATATATTGTATATGTATATTATTCTCACACTAACACAATACTGTTAATTTCTTGTGAAATGAAATTGTCATAATCTAAAAGTAGATAATCATTACCGTCACTATGGTTAACATGATAAAATGATAGATTAGTTGTATTTAAGCTTTGTTATTCTCAGATGATATGAAATACTCTTTTATATTTTAGTAAAAAATATTTTATTTACCTTCTACTGCACGTAGATTAAGATAAATAACCAACAAGAAATAATAATCGCCGTCTAGCCTAACTGTACCTTAGGCAATTGTCATTTAAAATGACCTTAACTTAACAGTAGACAATTGCAATCGATTTGTTGATGTCCATTGTTGATGGACAACTAATTGCTACTCTATAAATACAATATCTTTATCGGTTCTATTTCAAGATGAATAGCTAATATTACTAAATTTATTAATAATAGACAAAGGTAATTGAGTTTATAAAATTCAAGTTAACTGATAAAATATTAATTACAAGGCTTTTCTCTGGCATGAACGGTAGATGTATCTTAACCTATAATCATTATTTTATGCCATCTATTAACAACTGTGACGATGATGTACATGCTAAATACTACTGAGTTTATAATTGGAGATTTATTCGATCGGCAATAATCATTGTCGGTTCATCTGGTTTGATGGGAACGACGCTGGAGTTATAGTCCATAAATTGAACGACAATCCAAAAAATTTATTACTTTTCGCAATTTTAAGATAAGTTTGTGACTATTTCTCATCGAATATAACATATCACTATTGATAACTCAAACGGAGGTATAATAGGATTGCTTACATAAGAGAAACTATTAATATTTTTTGTTCTCTTGCCATTACTCTCGATATTAAAGCGGAGTCGCTAATTTTCCTTCCTCCAAAATTTAGATCCTAGGAATAGATAAAATAGCCAAATTGCCTTTGAAGTACTTTTGGTTGTCTCTAAAATTATTATGACGATGAATGTGACTTTCAACCCAACTTCTAGTATCAAGACCATTCATGAGCAATATGCGAGTATATCAACTTTGACTACGTTTCAATTACAAAGTCACCAAAGCGAATACACATTTCCGTGGATTGCAGTTGCTTATATCGTGGTCATGATTATTGCTATTCCAGGCAATTTTTTAATTTTATGGATTACATTAGCAAATAAAAGTATGCGTTTACCAATTCATCTTCTGGTCTGCAATCTAGCAGTTGCTGGCCTTCTAATTGCACTAATCAGAATACCAATTAGGACAAATCAATTAATTTATCCTAGTCATCAGTATCCGTTTTCTATGAGTGTATGTAGAATGGCTCAAATAATACCTGCATCGTGTGTCACCTCGATTTCCATTACTTTGACAGCAATTTGTGTCGAGCGTTATTTTAATATCATTTATCCAACCAATTTAAAATTGAGAATGACTGCCAATAAAGTATATCTACTTATCTTTATATGTTGGGTAGTATCAACGCTATTTTGGATACCTTATACAACCTTTATGCACATATTTAATATCAATAATCACACCAAAGCTTGCCTACCTAACTGGCCGACTCAACCAAAACTAGATATTATAATACGCAATCAAACTACCAACGCAATTATTCATCATATACCATTTTCTAAACTGATAGTTTGGCTGTTATTTATCATTTTCGTATTTCTAATACCTGCTATTGTTATGGTAACATTATATGCTATTATTATTAAACGGCTATGGAGAACACCACCTGGTCATCGTACAATGTCGATGTCGGCTAGTCGTTCAAGTATGAGTGGTAGAAGAGAAAATAATCTTCACTCGGAGAACCACGGGCTAAAATTAAAACGACGTGTCATTAAAATATGCGTAGCTTGTGTTATATTATTTTTATTGACTAATTTTCCCTATTACTTCCTACTAGTATTATTGGATTTTCACTTGATTCAATTTACAGATCGTCGTTCAGTAACAGTTATTGCTGATATTTTAATTTTACTCAATTATACTTGTATCGCATACAATGCCATTATCTATGGGTATTTTAATAAAAATTATAGGCGAAACGCTCCAAAATGGCTTAATCTACGTGCCAAGTAACCTAGCTTAAAATATGATAGCGAGCATGGTGATTTAAACAACCTCATATCAGCGATCATAACCATTTGCTCGAAAAACCATAAATTGTCCTAACAATTGGCTAATTTCCATATTAAATGGTTTACCTACTGGCTTCAAAAACTAGAATTTTTTCAGACAATAATTCAATTTCAATAACAGAATTATACCGTCTGGATTTAACTTTAGAAAACAGCCTATCCGCAGGCTACTTTCTCTTTCAAAATTTTGTCGTAGCCTGTAAGTGACTGTAACTGAAAGTTGATATTAAGTTTAGTAATAAATTAAAAATTTGCAGAGAACTATTTACGGCATTGACATAGCTATATAGCCTCAATGTCTATATTGAATAATAAAAATCAAAATAGAACATGAAATTATCTTATTTTCAGCTTGGCTAAAAATTGCTTCTAGAAAAAAAGGAGCATTACGGATATTAAGGTTTTAAACTATAATTTCTGCAGTTAGGCATATGAAAATTTTTCCTCAGTAGTCAAGCCTCTTCTGGTTACATTAAGTAATAAAATTTTTAAATTGTAGCTGTGAATTTTAGAAAACTTTGCATTGATGATTCTATTCATTTTTGGCATCGAAAATAATAATGTATAACTATGACTATGTGTAAAGATAAATATACGAATTTGCTATCTGCTGCGAAGACCAAATCTTTGTTGAAATCTTTATTTAACTAGATGAAATTGAGTATTTTTGATTTTAAAATTTATAGAAATTAAAAATTTTCGACCTGGTTTCTTCCATTTCTTAATTAATGAGTATTATAGAAAGGAAAATTGTACGCATTTTAAGTTTTCAGTTAATATTCTGCAGCGTTCATAATTCCGCTCTGGCGGCAGATATCGCTAAAATTCAATTGAATTAGTACGCTAAACAAAATATTAATTATTAAGCGATTAAATTTTACCATAATTGATGCTCTAGCATTAAATTTTTTTGTGATTCTTCAATAAAGTTTCTCTAAATTATAGAAAATATAGATAGCTAATACGTATATGATAAAAAGCTTGCCATAGTTTTCTACATACACATTTTCAACAGCAATAAAATGCAGGGTCTCGTTACAGAGAAAAAAATTGATTGTTAACTTTCTATTGTTATTAGTACAATTTACATTTGTCTAGAAAGGAAAAAATAAGAAGTTTAATCTACTCGAAAATTTTAGCCGCGAACGTCATGTCCATAAACTTTTTAACTGTACAATTTGCATTGTCTTGAAAGAAAAATAAAATGTTTAATTCACCCAAAAATTTTTACTATGTGCGTCATGTGCATAAATTTTGTGCTATTATAATCGATTATTCAATTCAATAAAATCAATTTATAATATCTAACAAACCTGCAAGTAGCATCATTTTTTATCAATTATTTACATTTTAGTTTACACAGCATTCAATTAAAATAACTCATACGATAGTACGTATATTCAATTTCCACATACAGACTTGAAAAATTCTATTTTGTTATATAGTAAATACACAATTATCTCCACTTTACAACAATAGATGTGATCTTCTATCCATTTAAATAATTACTTTTCGAAGATTCTTACTTCTAACTAATTTCTATGATGTATGTCAATGTATGCTTCAAAAAATTGATGATGGAGCTCAACATCTGTTTCAATGTTTATTTGCTCCTTGCTATCGTTAATTCATCTAAATTAAATTGATAACCTTATATTATTTTGGCAGTCATCACAGATGTTGTTTATAGAACTATTATGTAATATCTACGTATTACGTCATTTTTAGCTTTTTAACGTACTGTTCTTGTTGATCTTATAAAATAATTCATCTCATGTCCGTGTCATTGTATGTTAGGGCTAGAAAAGCGTTAATTCCTCTATAATTTTACAATTCCATTAGACTATTATTATCAATTGCTCCTTCATGCATGTTGCGCTATCATTTATTAGCATAACTTTGCTTTCTTGTCCATCTTTATCATGCGATATTTAAGATTTATTTTCGTTTTGATTAAATCACGCTCATGGAAATAGATTGAAATATCATAATGTCACGGTACGAACTACCGTGAAGAAATAGCCATCTAAATCTGGTTAATATCATATAGTGATAATATATTACAACTAGTTACTTACAGTAGGGATTACTCTAATTATAAATGTGTTACAGTAAATTTAATGCTGTGCTGTAATGTGCACTGAAATGATTCTGTGAATGGACATATTGTAGTCCGACTGTGAAAAATTAGTTAGTAGATATTCTCACCTAAGTATTTTTATAAGATGACTCGTGAATATTGACTGCTGTAGAAGGGTATATAAGCCCGTCAGATAGTTGAATAAAGCAGTTCTCAATTGTATAGTTGTTTTAACGTGGAAGCAAAGGCGTCTAAATTCTTGTGAGGTAGTTAAGGGAAGCTGAATCCCAGAGACTATAGTAATTTAGAGATTTGTTTTACGTTATCCTTGTCACGAAGCTGGTTTGTGACACGTAAATCTAAATATTTTTGTAGAATCTTAAATTTGAAAAATTTCTCTAACTAATAAATTTATAAATTCGATTGCCATATTCTCAATGATATTAATTGTAAATAAAATAAAATTGAAGTTTTTAGAGCATAAGCTATTGATCAAATAATCAATCTAATAAACTGTAGGCAATTCGAACGATACAACATCGAAAGATTCATTCGATATCTATTCGTTTTTTAACCTGTAAATTGAATAGAATACTATATAACCTACGGTACAGTAAATATGAAGTACGTAGTATACGTGATGATTAGATTCCAACTAGAGTGTGAGAAAATTAAATCGTGGGTGTGATCAATAGAGATAAATAACAGTTACATATTAAAACAGAGAATGAATACGTTGAGTAATAGAGTATAAGCGAAAACTAATAGTTTGAAAATTTTTTAATTATTTCTTATTGGAAAAGTTGATCTCAGTAGTGAATTGTAATTGATTCAAAGCAGCAATCAATTTTGCCGTGATTTAACATTAGACACTTTTTTATTCTAAGTCTAATAGGGTAGAATGGCAATATGTAAGATATGCGGTAAAGTACGTGTCGACTGTTGCATTTTAAGCTATATTATCATACAGTATCCTAAATCGAATATTTATCTAATTGTGATATATACCGATCACAAAATTCCAAATTTTAGAAAAGTAAGGGCTTTATTGAATCTTATACAAAGATTAACTACTCACAGCTCTACTCTAGCCAAATATTACTACTAAAGACTTCTAGAACGAACTGACAGAATAATCTAAAGTTACATGCTTTTATACTTTTCGTAGCATTCGCAGCTACAATCCGCATGGTAACCTTTTACCTTACTTTACACATTGTTAAATTATTCTTAGTAACTCTATTCTACTGCGGACTATCATTAATCCGATATGGATACGACTACAGTATTTACGTAGACATTATTCACACCAGCCAAAGTGCAATGAATTAACCATATCCTGACATATGATTTACAGTTCTATTTTTACCTATAACTTTATTAGTAACTCAACACCTTATTGTATATAGTCATCTGTACTCTAGCATAGAGTCTATACCACTACAGTCTATAGTTATAGCTACCAAATATCTCTTAGGATAAATATCTACCGTACATTATACTAAATATGGCTAACAGTCTACAATCGCAATACTAAGTTACATTACACTAATATTAACGTTTGTAAAGTATAATACATTTCGAGTAGCTGCAGGCACGTACAATATCAATGTTTAATTTAAGGGCTTCAACGGAGAATATTTCCTATATGCACGTGAATTTGGGTAATGATTAACATAGGCTACAACGCTAGTATACGTGACAGTAATTCATCCATGATTAACAAAATATTGTAATCTGTTTCCCTTATTGAAGGATAAAATATGGTCCAAATCCATTTAGATTTAATTTCTCGGTAGAAAAAAATTAACTTGTTTCGCTATAAAGTATGTATCACAAATTTATAACGCGTTCATTTTGGATCAAGAAATACTTTTCATACAAACACTAGAATTAAACGTGATCAACAATAATAATAATATATTACTAATCAAATACCTTATTGATAAAGAATGATAATCGAAAATTTACTATATACGTACCAGGGTTATTACAGCTACGCTAGTCGCATTCGAATTGGTAAATCATTCTGATGCCTAACGTATCAGATTATCATCCACATAATCTTTATGAGTTAGATTGACATGGTGCTGACTAATTAACATATTAAAGTCTACTTGAAATTTGAATTTATAACACTTAAATCCACAATTACTTTTGCAGTATATTTTAGTAATGAGCAATTTCAAAGGACTTGAAGGTACTAGTTTCGCACTAGTAAAAAATTCAATTTTAATTTTGTGTAATAAAGTCGAAGACAAAAGAAATAAGCCTTTCAAATAAAATTCCTAGAAAAATTATTGACGTAAAAATTCGATTATTTTTTCATATTTCTGGTGGTAAAAGCATACTACGGGGGATATAGTAATTTGTATCAACGTTGTACAGGATTTTGCCGATGGGAGAATGAATAAAAAGCGAACAGCATTGATGGTACGAAATAACTCGATAAATAATCGCGCTGCTGCTAAGTAATCTGAGACTAATATAATAATTTGATACTTTGTATAAGCCAACTATAATATTAGCTAAAAATAGTGCAGTATCTCATTAGGTTATATCCATATTTCAATTTTTTTATTGTATGATAGGGAAGTTAATAAACGACACACTTGTATTAATTTTGTCAATAAAATCCACTTATTTATAAAATTTTAACATGTACCAGTAGTAGCTGACCGATTTTAATCATGTAAGATCCTCTACGATACAGTTATTTGGCATGTTTACTATTATCTTTATCGATTTAAGTTAAGGTGATATTCCAATCCAGAATCACTCTAACAATAGGTCTTTTTGTCGTTTTATGATACCCTGGTATAAATTTTTCAACTCAATAATAAGTTGTAGCTTTTATAAGA